CTGGTCTGATGAGTTTCGATTTCTGTTGATGGTAGAGTCAGAATTTGGCGTAAACAGAATTGGAACATGGATCCATCATGCCTTGTTACCACTGTGCAGGCTGGTGGTGGTGGTGGTGTAATGGTGTGGGGGATGTTTTCTTGGCATACTTTAGGCCCCTTAGTGCCAATTGGGCATCGTTTAAATGCCACGGCCTACCTGAGCATTGTTTCTGACCATGTCCATCCCTTTATGGCCACCATGTACCCATCCTCTGATGGCTACTTACAGCAGGATAATGCACCATGTCACAAAGCTCCAATCATTTCAAATTGTTTTCTTGAACATGACAATGAGTTCACTGTACTAAAATGGCCCCCACAGTCACCAGATCTCAACCCAATAGAGCATCTTTGGGATGTGGTGCAACGGGAGCTTCGTGCCCTGGATGTGCATCCCACAAATCTCCATCAACTGCAAGATGCTGTCCTATCAATATGGGCCAACATTTCTAAAGAATGCTTTCAGCACCTTGTTGAATCAATGCCACGTAGAATTAAGGCAGTTCTGAAGGCGAAAGGGTGTCAAACAAAGTATTAGTATGGTGTTCCTAATAATCCTTTAGGTGAGTGTATATAGGACAAACGGGGCTGCCATGATATGTGAGCAACATGTATGTACATTTTTGTATTTTTAAGAGAATAATGTTTATGCGTGGTTATTGAAAAAAAAATAAGAATAAAGGTTTCTGAAATAAGACCACAAAACACATATTGATTATTTCTTCACAAGACTTTTGAAAATTGTATCACATAGCCTAGAATATTTGCTCCAAAACTATGTGAGAATCATCCTGACTACTCATTCAGATAAGTCAATCAAGTCTTTTATAATGTGTATGACGTATTTAGTGTGAGAAAGCTTTATGCGAGGAGGCGTGATCTCTCATTAATATGTATGGCATTTCACACCTGAGAAAGACAAAGACCCTCCCATAATGGCCCTATTAGGTGCTATCAGGCCCTATCATTACGAGGAGCCTTGCACAAAGAATGAGGAGATTTAAAAAAGAATGGCTTTTAGATTGTTTGGATTTATTTACAACACAACATAATCCAAAGATACACAACAAAGGACTGGTTTCTGGTTAAAATTGCTTTTTGATTATATATATACGTATATACACACACACACACACACACACACACACACACACTGCTTAGAATAAGTGAAAACACCCATGCTAAAGTTGACTAAAAAGAGGAATAAAAAATCTTAATGCCTTAATTTAAAAAATGAGGAAAACTCCAACCTTTAGGGAAATGAATAATGTCCCTGAATACTTTGTGCATGAATAATGTATCGCAAATAATTAAATGTTCTTCTTTAAAATACAGGGTGCATACGTCTGGACACTTCTATCACACACCCTTCACCATATAGACATGGTTTTATTTCAGTTCAAAGTTAGAGTTGGAAACATCTTGAAAAGAAAATAGTCTTTTTCCATAAATGTCTTCATCATACATATTTCAAAGTTGAGGATTCATTATTTTGATATAGCTTGCATTGGAACAAACATCTTAGTTGATTAGTTTATTGACAAAACATAAGCTTATTTGATGTCTTTATTTTGAAGCTTATTTGAAGCTTATTTGATGCTTATTTGATTTGAAAAACTTTATCCAAAACTAGTCAAAGAAATGTTCTTTTATTTCGTCTGTAACAGTGCGTATCTGTGCGTTCATTCATTCACACACACACACACACACACACACACACACACACACACACACACACACACACACACACACACACACACACACACACACACACACATACACACAGAAACATGATTCACATTTAAACAGTAGGCTATGCTATTTTTCCGTTTACAGACACTAACGTTATTCTATATCGCGATTAGAACAAAGCACAAAACACTTACACTTCTCAGCTGAATCTGTTGCTCCTCCTCGAAGTGAAAATAAACCAGCACTTCTGTGGTAAATGTCCCAGGATTATTCCTCATAGCCGCGCAAGACGAATCTTAATCTGACTAAAAAATATAGTGCGTTTACAGCATTTGCCTGGGGGCGTTTATCTATTTTGCAAATGGCCTCAACACATTATCTTATGAATAGCGCGCTCTGCGAGTGGGTGTGAACAAATTAACGATAATGAGCTGAGACAGGAGAAACTGTACTTCTCTTTAGTTTCAGACAGATTACATTGCAGGAGAATATTTGTTTTAAATGTGAATTGTTTTATTTAAAAGTAGAAATTTAAAGCGTTCTTTAGACGTATATTTCATGTTTGTGTGATAAGTATTAGCGGAGTTTCCGTTCATTTTCCAGACATGTTTCAGAAAGATTTTTGCGGAGACAGAGTGAGCTGAAAGCGCACCCTGTTTATTTTATTTATTTTAAAAAACACACAAGGTTTTGATGTTAATGTGAGTGTACACAAAAAAAGAAGACCCTCTATAGTTTATAATCATGTATTGATTTTATTTATATGACCATAAATGACGGAGTATTTTAAGTCTATGTTGCTGCTATGTGAAAAAAAAAAACAGCAAAACGCGCGGGCGCGTTCTTGGTCCCCAGAGGGTTAAAGCACTCCATAATGCACTGTTCGAGCCTTTACAGTCAGCTGAGCTAAGAGTCCTGTCTATGAAGACATTACTCCTGGCTGCATTGGCTTCCATTAAGAGGGTAGGGGACCTGCAAGCTTGTTTGGTCGACGAATCGTGCCTAGATATGTGCCGAAGGTTCCCACCACTACTTTCAAGGACCAGGTGGTGAACCTGCAAGCGCTGCTCTTGGAGGAGGCAGACCAAGCCCTGGCTTTGCTCTGTCCCGTCCGCACTTTGCGACTGTATGTGGAACGCACGCAAAGCTTTAGGACCTCAGACCAGCTCTTTGGCTGTTACGGAGGCCAGCAGAAGGGAAAGGCTGTCTCCAAGCAGAGGATGGCCCACTGGGCGTGCCTTGTCTGCTCAGGTTGCGAGCCCACTCCACTAGAAGTGTTGCTTCCTTCTGGGCGCTGGCACGTGGCACCTTGCTAAAAGATATTTGTAGAGCTGTGGGCTGGGCGACACCCAACACGTTTGTTAGATTCTATAGCCTTCGTGTAGAGCTGGTATCCTCCTGTGTTCTCACCTCAAATGAGTAGAAGACACTGAGAGGCCCGGCTAGTGTCGGCTTGCTGTGCCAATACATGCACTCATATTGCTCAAGAGAGTGCCCTTCGGGCAAACCCTGTTAGTCCCTTCATCACTCTCGGCAGCCAGGCCTTCATTCGCTGTATCCATGAGAAACTGTGTTAGGCTGGTTGCCCATATGTGAGTACCAAGGGAATACCATATGTGTAATTTTTCACGGTTAGCTCCTAAACGGAAGCACGGGTCTTTCCCTTGGCAGAGCTCACTCTGCCGTCTCTACCAGGTGTAGCCTCCTGCCAAACTGGTCGGCGCCACCCCTAGGGGCCATGTGTAGTACGGCCCTGGGGGTTAGTCCATGTGCGTATTCTCAGAACACCTCCTTGCAGTAGGTTGTGGCTTCCGCATCATTCCTTTTCCAGTGGAAAGGGCACGCTTTCCCAGTGTTATCCAATAGTCTCACTGTGTGGGTCATGTGGAACAGCAGTGATTGACATTCTCCGTGTAAGCCCTGTCCCATCCTTAGAGGGATCAGGAGGCTTTCACTGGGCGCTGGAAGGGGCAGCATCTGTGGCGCTTTGGTAGGGATTCCTATTCATCGGTCATCGACGTGACGTCGAGAGTGACCGACTGAAAGGGAACGTCTCGGTTACGTACAGTATGTAACCCTCATTCCCTGAAGGAGGGAACAAAGACCTCACGTCCCGTCGCCACAGTTGCTGTACCACCACTGGCGCTAGCTCGGCTCCTCAGCGAAAATCTGAAGATGCGATGCTACTGCTGCTCATTATATACCCGTGCTGCGAGGTGGGGCAGCTGATGCAAATATCGGCTCGTTTAGTTACACTCGAAGTAGATTGGCCTCTCTAGCGAGATTCCTATTCGTCAGTCACCAACGTGATGTCTCCGTTCCCTCCTTCAGGGAACAAAAGTTACATACGTAACAGTGATGTTACATTAAATAAATGTTACTATAACATTTAAGGAAGCAGTTGCTTCATGAATGTAGATTCACTCCAGATTCGAGGCAATTTATCAACTGTCAACTTTCATTGTGGCTTTTATGATATTTCAAACTAAAATGGACCCATTTTAATTTTACTCAATTAGTGCCAGAGAATTGTTTTTATATGACCAGTTTATTTGTTCTTGTTCCCTTTATTCTGAGGGGAAATTCAGATCGATCTCGTCGCTATCATTGTGGCTGCAAAATTATATTCAAACTCAAATTAAACCACTTTAATACTGTACAAAACACATAATCAGCACCTGAGATTATTAATGATAAAAAGAACACTAATTACAATTATATTTGAATATGAAATATTGCATTTAGTAACCCATTAAGTGTGATGATTCTGTCTCAAGTCAACAAAGAAGGCTCAGAAGACTATGAGAAAGGTAGGATTAGGATGGACGAATTAAGATACAGAAAATGAAATCAAACAAGAAGCAGAAGAACAAGAAGGTCCAAGAAATCTGATTTGATTCAGCAAGAAGTCAAGCTGTTTCTGCAGATGGAAAAAGCACTGAGGATTACAAAGAAATGTAAAGGATTACAAAGAAATGTCCTTAGTTGAAGATGTTACAGTTGCAAAACTCCATGCAGAAACCAAAGTTGCCACTTTTACCGTTCTACCTCACAACAAAGAAAAAAAGTAACTCTGACTCATATATGCAACAATAAATTGATGAGTCTCTGACTACATAAGACATGAGCAGTTCTGATCTGTCATTACAGATGACACAGATTTGGTTGGGTCTCTCTTGATGGGGTCAAACTGTGTTCCCTAGTACAGTAAGCATTAAAGCTTTTAGAAGCAGGATTAAATGGGTAAGATACTGGGGACACAAGCTGTTAATCAAAGCTCAATTTATTGTGCACATATTGGAATGCAGTGTTCATATAGTCTGTCTGTACATACAAACATCAATGATTAAACAGAAACTTGAAATGACTGGAGTGCAGAGACAGGCCTATGGCTTCTTTCTACTAATATATAAAGAATACTGTAATTCAATGGATGCTCAGGTTTTTCCTGATGATAGAAACCCATCATTCTGCTTTGCTCCATTTGACGGGACCAGGGAGTTTGTCTTGCAGTCTGCACAAAGAGAGAGAGAGAGAGAGAGGTCGATGAGATGAGTATATTTTGAAGAACATTGGACAAGACTGACTTACATTGTATGGACACAAAAAAAAACAACTAAAAAAAAAAAAAACAACATCAACATCAAAAAGAAAGTAAGTAAGTTTTAGTTTATTTTTTAAGGATAATAGATTGGTGCAGTAGATTAGACCTGAGGGACAAGATGGGTCTATAACAGTACCGATCTGTGTACTGTCTCATTGGTTTGCACCAGAGGTTTGAGCTCCTGAACACGAGGGATCTGCAATTGGTGTAAAAGAGCCACATATACAGTATTTACAGATTTGTATAGGGATGCAGGGCAAGAGCTGGAGTGGATGAGAGGAAGGAGACTGGATGGCACAGGACCCTCCCTGCTGAAAAATCCAGCACAAACCAGCATGGATGGTCCAGGCTGGTTTATGCTGGTATTGTACTGGTCTAGCTGGTGAACCAGCAAAATGGAGCTGGTTCACCAGCATGGTCTTGCAGGTTTGAGTGTGAGTAGGCCAGCTGTCTGTATGCAAGCATTGTTTTGGGGACAAGCATTGTTTTTGCTTGCATAATTCTATATTCAACACATTAATGATGTAAAGAACAATGTAAAAAACAATATAAGGTAAAAAAAAACCCAGATTTATTGATTTATATGATTATAACCCTTAAAACTATGGGTGTTAAAACCAAGAAAATTGCCTAATAAAAGCATAATCATAAGCAGTTTCAATAACATGGGTTATGAGAAGAGTTCCTTCAATAGGACACTTAATAACAACTTGATAATGAAAGTTCAAAACTGAGAGTTACAGTTTTTAAAGGTTTTCATACTTATTTGGGAAGTACCATGTGTCAAAATCCAGCTGTCAGTCACCGATTCCAAAAAGTGCTCATATAGTAAAAGGTATGTCATTACAGCCAGGAGCATGAAATATTGTTGAAAATAGTGATGGAATGCACTTTTAACAACTGCTGAAAGAGAATTAATTCAACCAAAGTCAATGGCCCAACTAAAGATAACACTGATCACCATAATGGCGACTACAACGTGACTTCAACAAATTTTGTACATGTACCATATGAAATAAATAAAGCCAAACTGGTTTGCAATAAGTGAATATGGTAATGCTGTTTTTGGACTTGTTTAATAATTTGCAGTTGTCTTCATCTAAGGCTGTGAGTCAGTTGTAGTTGTGCAGCAGGGTTATTTTCGTTAACTAAACCTAAAACTAAAAATATTCAAACATTTTTGTTGGCTGAAATAAAATAAAAACTTAAACTAAACGAAAATTTGAAATGTTGCGGCAATAAGTGGAAGTGGCAGCACTAGAATTATTAACTCGAAATAGCTCAAATTTAAAACTAACTAAAACTGAAACAAACAAATTAAACCTAAATAGCAATATTTTAATGTTTGTTTACATTTCTCAGCATCACTTCCTGACCTTTATATGGTCTTCAGATATAGTTTGCAGTTGACTGTTCCCAGATCACGTTTGATACTGAATGTGATTGAGTCTTGAATAAGTTTCCCACTACATATTAAATCTTCTCCTGCTCTTGATGTTTTAAATCACTTATTAAAACACGTTTGTTTTGTGTAGCATTATGTAGTATGTAAGGTAAGGTCATTAACAAATACGTCTTTTGTATTTAGCCAAATTGTCGAAAACCATAAGCTGGACATCATCTTCCTGACAGAAACATGGCTTGACAGTAATCATAATTTTGTGCTAAATGAAACATCTCCAGCAGGTTTTAGATCCCTAGACTGTTGTTTTATCAGTTCTCTATCATCCTCGTAGACTCAACAAGGCTTTCTTGATGATCTTGGAGAACTGCTTTCTAGGACTTTAACTGACTTTGAATGTGTTTAAATCACTGGTAATATTAATATCCACATGTATGTAATTTCTGACTATTAATTTCACAGTTACTAAACTCATTTGACATGTAACACACACACAAACATGGACACACACTCGATCTGGTGATCTCATGCTGCCATGTCTGACCACTATTGTGTCTTCTTTAAGATTTCAGTACCAAAACTGTGTGTGATAAGAGAACTGTCAATAAGCGCTATCTCACAGCTGATTCTGCCGTGGCCTTCATGGAGCTCATGTCATCTCGCCCTCCGTAAACACTTATGTTGAGGATCTTAGTCTCAGGCGCTCTGAATGTATTAACTGTGTTGCTCCTATAAAAACAAAGACTCTGGGACAATTAAAGCCCCATGGAGAAATAGTACATCATATCGTAAAATTAAGAAGAGCCTCCAGGAGAGCAGAAATGCAATGGAAGCGCATACAGCTTACAGTTCACCATGACATCAAATCATAAAATGTTAAATAATGCAATGAGGTCTGCCAGAAAAGATTATCTTTCAAGTTTAATTGACCGCAACAAAGACAACCCTAGATTCTTATTCTCCACTATCGATAGGCTACTTAATGTCAAGTTTACTTCACTATTACAATTACAATCATGACAAACTATATATCGTTGGAAAGGTCTAAGACTCCTGAATATATATTTTAGCACTGCTTTTTGTTCAGTAATAGATGAATTTATGACAAGATTGCACCTCAAAAAAATCGTCATCATAAGAGGAGTTCTGACCTTTATCACAAAAAGTCAACGCACACACTTTTAATAATTGAAACTTTGGTTTTCATGCTAAAAGTTCATAATGAAACATAATCTAGTATTTGTCAATAAAAAATTATAAAATTATATTATCCTCTAAAAAGTATAACATATATATATATATTATCCTCAAATATAATATTATCTTTTTTATCACCTTTTTTTATTACATCACATATTTTAGTAGTTATTATAAATTAGGTATCATTTGAAAGCTTACGAACTTGAAGTTGGACGTTGTGTTACCATAGAAACACACCTCTAGATTCTTTTGACGTCTCTGGGGGTCATCATGTTTCATAATTTATGATCAAAACCTTTTCTCAAGGTTCCATTTTTTGTGACAGAAGTGATATTTGGAAAGAAATGTATTAATTTGTTACGGCAGAATGCATACAATTAAATTCAGTGGAATGTATGTCACCCGGTGGCTATTTTTGGTATTACGCCTAAACAAAATCTCATGGGAACTTACATTTTTGTGATATCAACTTCAAATTTGGAACACAACTTGGTTAGATATATGGCTATGATTTTATAGTAATTTTATAGTAAAAAATGTTTTGTAAAATATATATTTTATATAAAAGAAAAAATATTAAGTAGAGTATGTTTGATTTACTGTAAATTTAAACTTCCATAACTTTTTCATACTTTCATTTTTTGATGTGCTTTCACTTCAGCAATAATCTGCTGAGTGTTTTCTTTAAACTTTAAACTTTTCTTTAACTCTTGGTCTATATTCCAAAGCATTCTTGAATTACAACCATTTAACTTTGAATAGTGCACTTTAACCCCTCAGCTCAAATATCATCAGAGTTTGCAAAAAAAATTATGAGAAAATTACTTCCATAAGACAAAACATTCCCAGCACTTGCCCAACTTGTAAAGTCTCCAACTCCCCAGCTTTGCAATGCAATCTGTCCTCCTCCTCAGCTGTCAGCCCCAGTACACAGATCATATCACATATGAATTCCTCTAGCTGCTCTATAGACCCATTACCCACTAAATTTCTCAAAAGGGTTATGAACTGCTTATTACCAGACATCCTGAATTTCATTAATCAGTCCCCAGAGCAAGTCTTTCCACAAATTTTTGCAACTGCAATTGTTAGGCCCCTGCTGAAGAAAAGTAACATCGATTCTTCTGTGCTCAGAAACTACAGACCAATCTCTAATCTAATTTCTTGGTAAAAAAAAAAAAAAAAAAATTGTATCCATACAGCTTAATAACTATCTCAATGCCAATAATCTTAATTAGACATTTCATTCTGGCTTCCGGCAAACAACAGCACAGAAACAGCCTTGATTAGCGTTTTAAACGATCTGCAATTTAACTGTTAATTATTTGAGTCCATGGAATCCAGACTGCCTAGCGTGAATAAAATCACCCAGACTAGCTTTCCCTGGGAAATCGAACCCGGGACTTTGGCGTTGCAAGCGCCACGCTCTACTGTTTGAGCTACAGGACATTTTATTTATTGATAAAGCCATTTTGGGTTAACTTCCCTTTTATCTTTTTTGTTTTATTCAACGGATTTGCCTAGCAATGACTCATTATGCTCTCAATCAAGTTACAATCTATGGGCCCTATTTTACCGATCTAAGGCCATGGTCTAAAGCGCACGGCGCAAGTGCACTTATGTTATAACAACAGGAAAATTGTATATAACTCTCGGCGCATGGTCTAAAAGGGTTGTCTCTATTCTCTTAATGAGTAATAGGTGTGTGTTGACTCTATTCTCTTAATGAGTAATGGGTGTGTTTTGATCATAACGTGAAATAAACCAATCAGAGTCTCGTCTCCCATTCGCTTTAAAAGCCAGTTGCGCTCGCATGGCGGATTCGCTGTTTACATGGAGGAATTAGCAAGCGGAAAGACTGAACGCTTCTCTAGCGAGGAAACGGGTCAGTTTGTGTGCTGCTGCGCGTCCCTGTGTAATGTAGCGCATTATGAACCCGCCTATAGGTGCACATTACTAATGCACCCTTTAAATAACAAAATAAAATACTGCGCCATTGACTTTAGACCAGGTTTCAGTTGGTCAATGGCTCAGTCTATTTCAGTTCCTTAAAATAGCAATGCGCCAACAATGCGGCAACACACACTCGTTCTCAGACCAGCAGCCCATGCGCCACAGAGGAAGCGCTAATGCATTTGCTATTTAAATAACGTGGTGCAGGACATGAAAATGAAAACTGCCTTGGGGTGAAACTAGCAAAAACCACATTGTGCCAGGTGTATGATATGGCCCTTTGTTAGAACTAAGCTTCTAATTAAACTACTTGTTAGTTCTAACTACTAACTAAAACTTCCTTCAAATATGCCACCACCTCAGACTGGAATGTTCTCCAGATGGAGATGAAGCTACAAAATTTGGTGTCATATAATATTTTTTTTTATTCTACGTAACCTACAGAGTTAATTAACTGGTTGTGTGTTTTATGTTGGATTTAGTATTGTGTTGCAGCTTTTCATAAAACAGGCTCCAAAACATGTCTCAAACAAATGTAATCAAAACCTCTCCTAAGAGATGTAAATAGCTGCACACACGTTTGGCAGTGATCCAGGGGCATCTCTGTCACTGCATAAACACAAATACACACACACACACAC